CAGTGCTCTTCATCACGGACCCCAACACCATCAGTCAGTGCTCTTCATCACGGACCCCAACACCATCAGTCAGTGCTCTTCATCACGGACCCCAATACCATCAGTCAGTGCTCTTCATCACAGACCCCAACACCATCAGTCAGTGCTCTTCTTAACACATCCCCAATATATTCAGCCAGTGCTCTTAAAAACTTGTATGGCTCTCCTGCTGTCGTTTCTCCTAAACATTCTCTCTTTCCCTAGTTTGGGAAGTTTCTTCCCCCTTCACTTGCTACCTGACTGAAACCATCTAAGGTGATTAACAAATGTAAGAAACTTTAGTAAACAAGCTAGTAGGTAGATGACGTAAACAACAAACATAATTCAAGTTATAGTGCTTTATAGTTCTCCATCTCTTACTTTGTTGCCCCATAACGTTTACACAGTTTCCTTAAAACTGATACCGAATGCCGGGGCGGTGGTGGCGCATGCCTTTAATCCCAGCACTCGGAAGGCAGAGGCAGGCGGATCTCTGTGAGTTCGAGGCCAGCCTGGGCTACCAAGTGAGCTCCAGGAAAGGCGCAAAGCTACACAGAGAAACCCTGTCTCGAAAGACCAAAAAAAAAAAAAAAAAAGATACCGAATATCTACATGCTCCTATCTACTATATATAGCATTTCTAATAATTTACCATTTTTTTAAATGTAGCATTTCCTTAGAGCTCGAATCACCTAAATCCAGATGTATTCACCAACTTTTCTAGACTCGTTCACTGTTTCAAAATCAGCTTGAGCATCAACTTTGCTTAACTTGTGCATCACACGAAGCAGCAGCCCTGATATCTCCACAGTTTTGGTTTATAGATAGGAGTGAACCATGGATTTCTCTGGGATTTATAATTTGAAATTTCCTCTAAAATTAAGTACATTGGACATACTTTCATTTACTTAATTATTTTGTTAATCTCTCTTAGTTTCCTCCAAATTGTAAGTCAGTGTCCTTCTTCACAGCATATGGAAAATAAAGAACTAGAGCAAGCACAGGCTGTATGGAGCTGTGCTGAGTCCCAGGGAGTCCACTCCTGGGGCTCCATTCCAGGTCTTCTTCAGAGCGCAGCATAAGCACTCTCCTGCAGCCACTGGGACGGAGAGCACAATCAGCCTTTGCCTCACACACTCCACACCCAGTGCATCTGACTGAAGAAAGAAAAATGAGGAGGCCAGCAGGGAGGAAGAGGCAATGTCCAGGAGAAGAGGTGAAAAGAAGGAAGAGGAAAGGTGCAGGGGAAAAGCGAGCGGAGCAGCAACTCAGAAATCCCTAATCAGCATCAGAGAAAGCAAATGTGCACGTCGCTGATTTGCTGGTAAAATGTATGAATTATAATAGACAAAAGCAAGCTCTGCTTCCCTCTTGTGACTT